TGATGTTCTGGCTTTGATCCCCGATCAAGTCATATCAAAGACTTACAAAAATGGTACTAACAGCTTCCTCACTTGGCGCTCAGCATTAAGAGGTTAATGTTAGGATTGGTCGGCCTGGTGTCAGGATAATGTGACTGGGAGGGACATCATGTTACATGTCTGCAGCATGATGCCCCAGTGCTCGACTCACAATAAACTGCCACACTGCAGACATCATAGCGATATAACTGAAAAAATTTTAAAAATCATAAACACATCACATCACATGTGGTTTTCTTGACTGAGTCATGCTGACTCAGTTAAAGCATTCAAGACAAATTACCAGAAGTCCATGCGTTCAAATCCTGCCCAGACCTGCCTAAATCACTTGCATGTTTCTGCACAAGACATTTGACCCACAACTACCTCAATATGATATAATCTATAATGATGTGCCATTAACCAATTAGTCAGTGGTGTTTTTAATTTTAATGCACTAATAAAACAGCCACCAGCTCCAATCACATTTGTTATGTATATGTAATTTAATTTTTTTTAAATTTTTTTGTGATGATAACTTTGTCTACTGTGTTTGATATTTTTCTTAAAATTCAGTTCAGCTTTGTTTGACCTTTTTTATTTTACTAATTAGCAGTCAGTGCTAGAATCATTGTATCTTGTTCCTGAACTTGATTGATTCGTCAAAAATCAGTAAGGTTTTTAGTAAACAACTTGTTTTTAATTTTTTTAAAAATTCTTTCTAAGAGTAAGATTCATTCAGTGGAATCAAGGCTATACTTGGAGTACATGATAATTGTCATGTGACTAATTTCTATTCTTTTTGGAAGGATGACCATGTGACCCTAATATTAGTGTATAACTGTTTTCTCCATAAGAATTAGCCAGCTGGGCTTTAAACCTTTGACACTTAAAAAATGTGTTTTGTTGTGACCAGTTTGAGTTGAAATTCTATTTTATGGAAGTAGTAATTCTTTACCTTGGAAATTCTATGCTCATACAGAATTTTTGGACAAAGACATTTATTAAAAATTAATAGAATTCCAAACTGGAATATTATTTTTCTGTGATTTAGCAAAGAAACTGTTGACACATCAGTACAATGCTGATTGTTGCATACATCATTGCCTTCTACCTTGTAATTTCATGTGGACTCAAACTCATATTCATTTAGGACTTTTAAATTATAGGACTTCTATTTTCTAATTCTTTGATTAATTTTGGATTTGAATCATAAACTGTAAGTTCTTTTTCTCATTTTTACCTTGGTTTTCTAATGAAATAAATTATTTGTGAAATTTTTAATAGCTAGTTGTCTTCACTCTTTTCTTATTACTTTTTTTAAGAGCCTAGACACGTAACATATTATTTTTATGTGTCTTAAAACACCTGAATGTCTTAAAGATATTTGTAGAATATTTTAGGCATTCATTCAAAAATTGCATGACTAAAGTTTGACATAATTTGTCCTGACAATCCCATGAATCTTGCAGACAGAATTTCTAGTCCACACATACAAAAACATTTACAAATACAATCAGATCTGTTAAAGCTGGATGCTCAAGAGATCATAAAAACAATCTTTAAGGACTGGTGTACATTTATAGACAGGTCAGATATCTCAGTAACCTTAAGAAAAGGATTGATAAATTGCCTTCTTTATGAGTAGGTGTTCTTTATATGAAAGTTGCCATTAAGGACAGGTTTTCATGGTGTGTATGTATGAAACTAATATTTAAATATGAAATATATTATCTCAGATATTTGATTGTTGTTGTCTGCTTTTGTTTGGAAGATTTATCAGTCTTTAAAAAAGATTTTCTTCACAAGAATATTCTATTTGAAGAGAAGACACAAATAAATTAAAATAGGGACACAATACATTTTTCACTGGTGGAATTAAGCAAGCATTCACTATACATAGGAAAATTACATAGAAAATTGTATTTTGTTTAAAACTGCTAAATGGTTGTCTCTATGAACAGGTGGTCACTATATGCAGGTAGTTTCATGTTATTTATTTATTGTTAATTGATAAAAGCATAACAACCTTTCAGAATGACTACAGCAGATGTATACAATTCATAGGAAATCTGTTATGATTGATTTGATTGCCACCTCATGCTTATCAAGGGAGAAAGGTAGCACCAGGTAGCTTTGAGGTTTTACTACACTCCTGTTAGTAATGTACCAACTTTTTCCCTCACAGTATATATACCCCCTTTGCCAGGTGCCCCCTTTATAAATGTTTGCAAGGTGGAAACTCTTGAATAAGAAAAGGCAATTATATTAGGTATGAATTGCTTCATTTAATTTGTGGAGTGTGTTAGTTTGTCTGACACTTGGTGTAGAGGTTGTACACAAATGCAGACATTGACCCATTCTTCAGTTTAATTTTGACAATGACAATTCAAAATTCAAGCTGATTTTTGCAAGAGATATTACTTGTAAGGAATAAAAAAAAACAATGTATTGCCATTGGTGAAACTTTGATTTTTCTCAGAGAAAGAAAAGTAATTTGTTACAATCATCAAGAGAAGACCTCATTAATGTGAATAAGTGTGACAGGAGTATGCATCCAGGTAAAAGAGTTACTCAGTTTACTGATATATTAGCAAAATATTAACATGTATGTGGGGATAAGTGAAACTTCTACTTGGTGTCATTTATGGGATATAACTTATACATGTAGAGTCAAGGAATCTAATAGTGTTCCATAGGATGCCAGTAAGTCATTTATTTAAAGACAGAAGTAAAACAAGTTGTGTTCACCTGTGCAGTCTAGCAATGCACAGTATATGCAATACATGCAAGACATTATATACTATTAAACATTAAATAACTAAGTCATTGAAATTATAGAATTTAATTTGTGTAAATAATATGCATAACTTTGGAGTTCAGTAATAACCTATAATGGAGCAATACAATACTACAACAAAAACATAGTGGTCCTGCTTTGATACTTTTGATACAACATATAGGAACTATTATTCTTGGATAAGGGGGATACATGTACATGGATTTACCTAGCTCTACAAGATCAATAACTTGACAGGTAAGAACTACAGTATTTTAATTAAATCAGTCAGAACTGTAAATTTTTACTGTTATCTATCCCTATTTAATTTAATATTTGCTTGTAAATAACAGTTGCAAGTACTTACAAAAACTTCAAATATCATTACTAATACTGAGCGTCAGAATTGTATATCCCTACTTGCTTTTTGATTCCAACAACAGTCAACTGACTCCTTATGTCTAAACCCCCACTTCATTAAAGTGATGGATCAGAATTTCAAGGCCAATATGCAATTTGTTGTTTTTCCATAAGCAACATCTGATTGTAAACAGTATGCACAGTGTAAACAGTATGCACAGTGTAAACAGTATGCACAGTGTAAACAGTGTGTACAAAGTAAACTGTGTACAGTGTAAACAGTATGCACATTGTAAACAGTGTGTATAGTGTAAACAGTGCATATGTTGTAAATAATGTGTAAAATAAAATTCACTGTCCAGCTGTTGCAAAATGCTTTGGTAGATCAGTAATTAATATGACCAGGGTAGAGATTGATTTGCTAGTGAATTTAATTTATACTGTTGCTTGGTACACATTTTAATATACACAAATGGTACAATATACTAAATGTCTCTACCAGGCTTTTTGCAGCATACAAGGAGTCACCAGAATTACACATGCATGAGGAGTTTATGCATGCTCACAAAGACCAGTATTATCAAACAGTTCATAGAGTGCATGGGGACAATTAGTTGTAATGTTTACTTGTGTTGAAGATTTTTACACACAGACATACATATATATATATATATATATATATATATATATATATATATATATATATATATATATATATATATATATATATATATATATATATATATATATATCTCTGATACTAATCATATAGCCAAAAATAGTCCTTTCCAGTGCATGTGTGTGTCAGGGAATTTATTAAGAAACAAACACACACACACACACACACACACATACACACCAGTTATTTTAGAATATATCAGCCAATTTACAAAAGGATTGGGATATTTTTACATATCAACCATTATGAACCAAAGAGTGAGCATTCCCATACACTCAATCCCCTAGGTTACCAACAAGAGAGCTACAATAATTTTACATTGTGATATAGAATAATATTCCCAGAACACGAATTAAAATTAAATGCATTCAATAAACACTGGAATTAAAACATTAAAATGCTATATTTCTTAAGGTCAGGATTCCTTTATCATAGAATTTTCATGTCTAAGTAAAAGGATTTGGAGGGTTACATTTATATTGTATACTCATGCCAGAAATTTGAACTAATTCAGGACTGTAAATAAATTGACTAAACTATTTAGGTTATCAAGGAATGACAGAATGCTTTGTATGCTATGCTGTAGGGATTCAAATTGAATGGAAATTTGTCACAATAGTACATGTAGGAAACATAATTACCAAGGTCTCAGAGAAACACAAGAGGCAAATGTATTAAATATGATAATGATAACCAGAAAGAAAAAAAAAATAAATAAATGCTATCAATACACTTATTTTCATAGGAATTTGTTTTTTTGGCTGTGAATTTTAAGAGTCTTTATCAGCACTTAAAATTATGGTTTGGTAAAGGGGTTCTGTTGCATCAATAAAGAATTAATATTCATTGGATCTTTAAATGTATGATATGGGGTTTGATTGTATGCATTAAACATTGATTGGCTCTTGGGACAAAATAATTGGGAAAGGGGTTCTAAAATGTCCATAAAATAGTTACTGTTCATTGGAGGTGTGGTGTTTATAATTTTTAACAGTTTTTCAGTCATATCCCTACCATGTCTGCAGTGTAGCAGTTTATAGTGATGTCTAGCACTGGGACCCACCCAGTCACATTATCCTGACACCAGGCCAACCAGTCCTAACACTAACCTCCTAATGCAGAGCATCAAGTGAGGCAGCTGTTAGTACCATTTTTGTAAGTCTTTGGTATGACTCAACTGGGGATTGAACCCACGACCTCCTGTATCAGAGAGAGACACTCTACCCACTAGGTCACCATACTTTTAACTTTGGAATCAAGTTCCCAGATTTAAAAAAAAAAATTACACTACGGTTTAGGTTCATAGTTTATATTTTCTAATATTCCCCAACGCTATGATAGATTCTCAGCTTGCTTTGTGTTATACATTTTGAAATTAAGACAATTTATTTTTGTACTGACCTTATGATTTTGGATTCCAGGCCACATTCATTCAGTTTATTTTAAGGTTCCAGTATTGTTATTTGCTTTTTAAACTCCTTGAATGATTTTCATAACACATGGGATGAGTCATTTTTAATCTAACATTCTGATATATGTTCACTTGCTGCTTTGACTTTTTGTTCGAGGTCACAATCTTAGACAGTTTTTTTTAAGGTTTTGGTTCCAGTTTTGTTATTTGTTTATATTTTGTAAACTCCTTGATAGATTTTCATCACACTTGGGATCTAAACAACTAATTTTACTAGTGTTCAATTGCAGCTTTGACTTTTGGGTCAAGGTCACAGTCATACATAATTTGTGTGACAGTTTTGTTTAACATTTTTTTGCATTAGCTTCTGTTTTTTGTATTTTCTTGGTTTCTTAACACTCCACTAAATGGGTAACAGATGGCATTAATAGGGATGTATCATTATTACTAATGGGCAAGCATTCTTAACACTCCACTTACTGGGTACCAGATGGTATTACTAGGGGTGTATCATTGTTACTAATGGGCAAGCTTTCTTAACACTCCACTTACTGGGTACCAGATGGTATTACTAGGGGTGTATCATTATTACTAATGGGCAAGCTTTCTTAACACTCCACTTACTGGGTACCAGATGGTATTACTAGGGGTGTATCATTGTTACTAATGGGCAAGCTTTCTTAACACTCCACTTACTGGGTACCAGATGGTATTACTTGGGGTGTATCATTATTACTAATGGGCAAGCTTTCTTAACACTCCACTTACTGGGTACCAGATGGTATTACTTGGGGTGTATCATTGTTACTAATGGGCAAGCTTTCTTAACACTCCACTTACTGGGTACCAGATGGTATTACTTGGGGTGTATCATTGTTACTAATGGGCAAGCTTTCTTAACACTCCACTTACTGGGTACCAGATGGTATTACTTGGGGTGTATCATTATTGCTAAAAGGCAAGGTTTCTTAACACTCCACTTACTGGGTACCAGATGGTATTACTTGAGGTGTATCATTATTGCTAAAAGGCAAGGTTTCTTAACACTCCACTTACTGGGTGCCAGATGGCATTAATAGGGATCTATCTTTATTGTTATTGGGCAAGCTTTATTAACACTCCACTTACTGGGTATAAGCAGGTAATATTAGGGGTGTATCATTATTGCTAATAGGCAAGTTTTCTTAACACTCCACTTACTGGGTACCAGATGGCATTAATAGGAATGTATCATTATTGCTAATATGCAAGTTTTCTTAACACTCCACTTACTGGGTACCAGATGGTATTACAAGAGGTGGAATGATATAGTGAAGCATTGGTGAAATGTGATACTCTAATCACCCAGTTTTAATCACTACAGAATGTTAGAAAATTAAATGAACAAAATAATTTTCACTAAACTACCATGCCTTCTAAATTTGACAATGAAAGATATATATGATTTGATTGCTTATGACTGCATGGACAGGCAGTTGAGAGTGGACACTAATTGTTTTGTGCAAACACCATGGTATATTAAGGATGTAATAGAAACATTTGAGCAGACAGGCTTGCTGATGCATGTTGCCTTAAATAATTTGATACATTTCTTTTTGAGAATCTCTCACTGTCTGCACCTGTTTTGGCCATTAAGCCAAATTTATATTTGTCTTGGTACTTTTCTTAATGATACAAGCATGATATGTATCATTATGTTTATCATTGTACCTTTCATAGTGATACAATCATGGTACATTTTACAATATTTAGAATGGTACATTTAATACTATTTATCATGTTACAGTAAATTTCATAATTCATGGAACATTTCATAATATATATCATGGTACATTTGACAATATTTAGACTGGTACATTTAATACTATTTATCATGGTACAATAAATTTCATAATCCATGGTACATTTCATAATATATATGGTACATTTAATAATATTTAGAATGGTACATTTAATACTATTTATCATGCTACAGTGAATTTCATTATTCATGGTACATTTCATAATATATATCATGGTACATTTGATAATATTTAAATTTGCACAGTTAATACTATTTATCATGGTACAGTAAATTCATAATTCATGGTACATTTCATAGAATTTATCATGATACATACTTACTGGTAGTATCCAGCATCATGTATACTTGCTTATAAGTTCTAACTGCAAACAAGATAGATCCTCATAATGCACCTGCAGATCAGGGTCTATATTATTTGTTCTTCTGATTTGTTCTTCTGATTACTCTTAAGGAGCTGCACAGTTCTAGATCTGCCAGCACATTATACAGCATCAAATCTGGATCTCTGCCATTTGCAGGTGGATTTATGTTATAAGCAAGTATATACAATGCATCACTGTACTAGGTCAGCTTTGCATAAATAGATGTTTAGGATTATAATGAATCTAACAAACAACACAGACCCCATATCCTGATCTGCTGGTGCATTGTGCAAATGGCAGATCAGTTCTAAGTTATTTGTTCTTGGACTTGATTTATAACCAATTATATATGTACTTTGATAGACATGAGGAAATCTTTTTTTTCGAACAAGACAATAATCATATTCCCTACAAAGCAAGTATGATTTAGAGTTCACAATTTTTTCAGCCGGTGCCACAGCAGCAGTAGCTGTCCAAGTTCTGTTGTCAAAGAAACTGTGAAATTAAAAAATAATGTTTGCTTGTTGTAAGGTCAGAATATTGCAAATGTCAGCATTGGTGGATCATTTATTTCAAATTTCATTCATATGATTTGTAAATGTGGAATTTTGAGTGGAAGTTCAAATGTTGCTCTCAGTTTTGTTATGTTGACTCCTGTTATCTTTAATGTAGGCCTTTCATACAAACATGTTTTCAAAGATTAATTGAGCCTTTTCTTTTGTGGCCAAGATTCTTCATTATTTTCATAACAATTCTTATGCTAACTAGATGCACAAGTTTGTTGTTTTGTTTTTCTTAAGTGAATGAGGCATTGCAGGCATATTAATGAACCAATATTTCTAGTTTGCTGTCGTATCGTCTAACACAAAGTGACATAAAAGCATATTTCTGATTTTGAGAAAATCTGGACATAATCCTTAATCAATTGTGTAAACTTAAATATACCTAAATAAAGCTATTTAATCTAGTTTATCTAATTCCAATTTGATATAATTTGTTGTTGGTTTGTTTATAATGGCATTTTCAACAGAGTATTTGATATATCATGCTTAGAAAATGGAAGATATATACTTTTTTAAAGGACATACTGAGATATCCAACCCAGGCTTGCCTGGGCAGGTACTGAACTTGCTACCCATGAATTACAGATCTGACATTTTGCTAACAGAGCTAATGTGGCTACCCTAAAAGATTATTTCCTGTAGTTCTAAGTGGGCATATAAAACCAAACTGGGCATATAAAAGCCAAACTGGGCATGTAAAAGCCAAACTGGGCATATATATGCCAAACTGGGCATGTAAAAGCCAAACTGGGCATATAAAAGCCAAACTGGGCATGTAAAAGCCAAACTGGGCATATAAAAGCCAAACTGGGCATGTAAAAGCCAAACTAGGCATATAAAAGCCAAACTGGGCATGTAAAAGCTAAACTGGGCATATAAATGCCAAACTGGGCATGTAAAAGCCAAATTGGGCATATAAACACCAAACTGGGCATATAAATGCCAACTGGGCATATAAAAGCCAAATATCAGGATTCTTTAGCTAGAATTGTAAAATGTATTTTCAAATGATAAGAACGTTTGACACATTGGCCCAAAAATCCCAAACCAAAACAATATATGGTTGAATATAAAGATCCAGATGAAAATTTTAGTGTGATTTTCATGCAGAAATGGATTTGCATTGATAATGTATTTATAGACAAAAGCAATAAACTAGTTTTTGTAAATAATAAAAGAATGGATTGGCACCACTTTATAGGGTAGTGTATTTGTGTAAATAATATGCATAACTTTGGAGTTCAGTAATAATCCATAATGGAGCAATACAATACTACATCAAAATGGTAGTTTGTATTTGTGGACCTGCTTTAATACATTTGATACATCAACATATAGGAACTATATATGTTGGATAAGAAGAATACATGTACATGGACCTACCTAGCTCTACAAGATCAATCACTTGACAGGTAAGAACTACAGTATTTTAGTGTAATTACTTAATCCATTCTTTAAGCAGGATTTTTAGCTATCTACAATTTAGCATTTGCATTATGGTTTTTGAATAGAAAGAGACATATGGTACTTCAGCATCACAGTATTTATAAAACTATTCCTTCATTCTCCTGACATTGTTTCATTCCCAAACCTGTCTCATCACCCCTTACTCCCCACCCCACTTGATTCAAATATTCTGAAACCCTTTCCAAGGATAATTGATCAAAATATTTTGAGGCCATTATGCAGTTTATTTTTCCCTAGCATGTATCAGCAACAACTAACTGTGATCAATGTTAATGAATAGATCTCCTATCCAGCTGTTGTATAATGTGTTAGTAGATCTGGGTAGATGACCTTCTCTTGAAAATGTTAGCAATTATTGCAGACTAGACATTGATCTACTGGAGTATTTAATTGATATTGTACATTCTTTGGTAAACATTTAAATACACACAAGGGTACAGCAATACAACACACACACACACACATACACATACACACACACACACACAAACACCTGTCATCCTGAATTCATCATCCAGTATAGCAAAACACTAGGTATGTTCAATGTGAAGATTACACAAGTAATGCAAAGGACTCCAGCTAAATAGTGAAGATTACACAAGTAATGCAAAGGACTCCAGCTAAATAGTGAAGAT